GCTTTTAAAAAAGCATCAAAGTCACTCTTGCTAATAAATTGCACTTTAAAGAAAACGAGGTCATTTATTATGAGTAAACATAATTTATCGTTTCTTTAAATGGACAAATATTGTTTGTCATGATTGATTTCAGTAAAAAAAATTTTATTGTGTTAAAAATGATTTCAATGTCAATGTGTTAGCTAACTCTTTTATTTCATCTGATAAAGTTGAACGATAGATAAGAAAAATAGATAGATAGATAGGTGGTGTCATTCTAGCTACTTTGATTTTCGATGTAGGTGTGTGTAGGTGCAGGGATGATTCCAAGTTTCATACAGGGTGCAGCAGATCGGGTGTGAGGACAAATACTCGCCACGGAAGACATTGGCTAGTGGTCGCGCTATGTCGTGAATTGGCAGAAGTTAGAATTCATGGGCCATTGGGTCGGGTCCCAGTTGCTTAATGGTCTACGAGCTAGCTCGCCTTGTAACCAGAAGGTCATGGGTTTGAACCCCAGTGGTGGGTGCATACTGCAGAAGAGTCCCAAACTAGGACGAAACAGCCAGTTGTCTAGTCCTCCGGGGCTGGTTTTCCAATGGTTCTCTAACTGATGTCAGCTCATGATGAAATCCTGTAACCAATCAAATCCCTACAAACCAACATTTGAATGTCATACATTTGTTTCCCTTGGTAAATTTCGATAAAGAAAGGAAGATGAAATTTGCAGTATAAAATGATATCAAAGGTTCACATATTTCACAGGTTCTCATCAGCTGCTGCAGACTACCTGAAATTACAATGGCTATATAGATTGGTAGTAACATACTTTAATGTTTAAGTGGTAGTAGAGAAGAAATTCTATAGAATTGACGCATCCATAATGTAAGCATTACAATTTTTAGTTTAAGTTTTCATCATCAATTTATTCACTTTCAAAGTAGAAAAGTGGGGGAGGGGTAAGACAGAAAACAGAAAAAATTAATTAACAAACAGTGTTAGCTTATAGGTTCATATAGCAACTCAAGAAACAAAAACGGTTACAGTTTTATAAAATTGAGATTCGCTCAGTGAGTTGAGATCACTGAATAGGACAGAACTAGGAAGCTATGTTCACCGAACAAGTTAGAGGAAGAATTAGGTTTCATTGAGAAAATGCCTAAGAGAAAATGGATACCCAAAGGGATTTTTACAAAAGTATAGAGAGTGTGATTAATCTTTCACTCCCTTGATAACTGAATTTTGATTTTGATTACATTAATAATTAGTCATCTGATTCAGTGATCTCAACTCACTGAGCGAATCTCAATCTTATAAACTGTAACCGCTTTTGTTTTTTGAGTTGTTATGTGAACCTACAAGCTAACACTGATTGTTGATTAATTTTTTCTGTTTTCTGTCTTACCCCTCCCCCCTCTTTTCTACTTTGAAAGCGTATAAATTGATGATGAAAACTTAAACTAAAAATTGTAATGCTTACATTTTGGATGCTTCAATTCTATAGAATTTCTTCTCTACTACCACTTAAACATTAAAGTATGTCATTATCATCTATATAACCATTGTAATTCCAGTTGTGTGCAGCTGATGAGAACCTGTGAAATATGTGAATCTGTGATGTCATCTTATACTGCGAATTTCATCTTCCTTTCTTTATCGAGATTTTCTATAGCTTGGTTTGTAAGGGTTTGTTATGTTTTTGTCTTTACGAGTTGATCACTGACTGATATCAGTTAGAGAACCATTGAAAACCAGGGAGTAGTGGACAGCTGTTTCATCAGCCTAGCTTGGGAATCATCGTCAGTACGTACTCACCTATCAGGGCTCAAACCCAGGACCTCCCGGTTACAAGGCCAGCAAGCTCGTATACCTTTCAGTCACAGGGAAGTGACACAATGGCCAGCTCACGAATTCTAACTTCTACCAATTCGTGATTTAGCGCGACCCCAACCATTGTCGTTGGTGGGACATCCATCCACACACGTGACATCTGGATGAACCTAACTGGTCACGACTTCTCACTAGAACTCCAGGAAGCTACATCCTGTAGCAAGTCACTAGTGAGCATCAGATTAATTTTCTAAAGTTTGGTTTGTAAAGGTTTCTTATGTTTTTACGAGTTGATCACGGACTGATATCAGTTAGAGAACCCTTACAAACCAAACTATAGAAAATTAATCTGATGCTCACTAGTGACTTGCTACAGGATGTAGTTTCCTGGAGTTCTAGTGAGAAGTCGTGACCAGTGAGGTCCATCTAGATGTCACGTGTGTGGATGGATGTCCCACCAACGACAATGGTTGGGGTCGCGCTAAATCACGAATTGGTAGAAGTTAGAATTCATGGGCTGGCCATTGAATCGGAGTCCCAGTGGCTGAATGGTATACGAGCTTGCGTTGTAACCGGAAGGTCTTGGGTTCGAATCCCAGTGGGTGCGTACTGGCGATGATTCCCAAAACTAGGATGGAACAGCAGCTGTCCAGTACTCCCTGGTTTATCGAGATTCCAAGTTTCTAACTACTTTTGCTTATTCAGTGTCAATCTCTCAGTCTAGTTACATTATCATTTCTGAAAGTATTTAACCCTAATAAGCTGTTATTAATTTGTGTGGATATATGAGGCGATTAATTAAATTAACTGATATTTACTGTTTGGATTACGGGAATGGAAATTCATGGACGTGTATGTATGTACAGCTAAAGAGTCATGTGGAATGATTTATTCCGTCAGCTATTTCCCAGTAGTAAATGTTGTTAACTTGACATTGTGACACTCTTGTGTGTTAATCAACTTCCTAATTTTGGTTTTATTTTTATTCCTTTGCATTCTCACTTGAGACATAGGCGCTCCTAACTTCAGCTTTTGAAGTTTACGGGTTGGTAGTGGGGTTATGCTAGCCTCAAGTCCATCAACACTAACTTTCCCTCTTCACCCCGGGGCTGATTACCGGCTATTAAGTGAGTTCTAGGAGAGTGCGTCGGCTGGGAACTCTTAAACCTCCCGACCACGTGAGGGGCATAATTAGCGAATATTCTACCTACCACTGGACCCATCCACGCACTAAGTAACTAACCCAAGGGTTCAATATGTTGCTTAACTTCGGTGATCGGACGAGAACCACCGGTGTTTTCAACATGATATATGGTCGCAGATAATTTCGGTGTATCCGATGTTTACTGTAAATATTCAACTGTGAAGGTTAAATGTACAAGGTGTATGTGTAACAAACATTCATCACTTTCCAAATTTTACAGTTTGTTTTTTTGAAGTAATCAGTACTAGTTTCTATTGGCAACCGAAAATATTTAGATTACAACATGATGTGATCTGCTTGATGCCGTAAATAGCAATCAAACAAAGCAATCGAAATAGTGTGACACTATAATATATATACTACTGTTTGACTGAGATGAGTAGATGAAAACGATTAACTTTTGACTTTCAGGTAACTCTAAACTATAGCGACCCCAGGGGAACAGACTTAATAAAGACTTTGAAAAATCAATGAATTGACTCCATAGTAAAGATGCAGATATGTAGTAGTCCTATTCTCTGATGTCCCCTTTAGCTGGTTGGCCCCACGATTACCCATACTCTCTGATCTCCTCGCACGATCTTCTCCATGTCATCCTCAGACACATCTTGGAAGCATCTGCACAAGGAGACCGACATGCCTGTCAACAGGGGCGAGGTTCAACACTTCTGTCGAATCAATCGATGGGAAAGTCCAAATTGGATTAAATAATATATAAATTATATTATTATTTCCTTTAATTCCTGCTGGAGTTTTCACCTGGCTCCAAGTCTGCCCACATGCTTTCATCTCCTCTTCACATGACCTCTTCCAAGTCACCCTTGCACTGACGACCAACTCGCCGATTCCCTTTCGGGTTCCACTCGAGGGCTTGTTTAGTGATGTCACCTGATGGTTTCCTCAGACTATGGCCAATCCACCTCCATTTCTTCCTGCACATTTGTTGCACAATTGGTTCCTGCTGGGTTGGTTCGCTCTCAGAGATCCCTGTTGCTGATCTTTTCTGGCCGGCCATCTGATCTTGAGTAGTGAGCGAAGACAGCTGTTGATGAAGGTCTGTAGTTTGTTTGAGATGCTCTTTATGACGCGCAGTGCAAGTCTCTGATCCGTATGTTAAGTAGCACTGACTTCACATTGGAGTTGAAAATCCGGATCTTATTTTTGATGCTGAGTGCTGTTGACCTCCACACAGACTTGAGAGTAGTGAAAGCTTGTCTTGTTTTCCCGATCCTTGCTTTGATATCCTCGTCAGTTCCGTCGGCCTGTAGTTGAAACGATGCTTCCCAGGTGGGTGGGTAGGTAAAGGAGTTTGTTTCTTTCAGGTTCTTTCCATTTATGCTGATTTTTGTCTGTTGTTGCTGTTGCTGTTGGTGGTGTTGGCCAGGAATCTTCATCACCTAACTCTGTTTTCACAATGTTCACCTGAAGTGCTATCTTTGATGCTTCTTCTATCGCCAACTTGTTGCTTTTCACTTGCATATCTTGCATATATAAAGGAATGTTTTAAATTACAGGTAATTTACCATGTGCCTATCTGATTGGTGGTTGATCCTAGATCATTCATTACATCTGTTTTGCTTGGGTCGCTGTAGAATTTCGAGTTATCGGCTTTCGTTCGTCCACCTAAGTAGCCACCGCTAGCGCTTAGCCAACCTGAATTCAACTATTCTGAACTAATTCGCCTCTCTCTCTATCTCTCTCTAATTTTGAGACAAAGCAAGTAGTCTGCCGACGAGTTCGGAAGGGAATCACTTCGATGTGATTAGCAATCATCACTACTGTTTAATTTGACAATGAGTACTTTTCAACTATTGATAACATTTGCGTATGTGTGTGTGTGTGCGTGTGTTCGCATGACTCATAAGAGAGACCTAATAATGAAAGCATTTAATCTCTTAAGCTATTGTTACTGTTATTACCATTATTACTATTACTATTTTATTATTGTACTATTATTATTATTATCCGCCTTAACCTCCTTTTCAAGGTGGTCCTGTGAAACATCCATTACTTCCGACTGCTACTACTACTACTACCAGTGGTATTCCTACTCTCAATACCACCATCACCACCACTACTACGACTACACAGTCAACTCAAAAGTTGTGATTGTATTATTGTATTGATTATCCAAGGTATTAGTTGATTATTGATTGATTTATTGATTACTGTGTGTGCCTAACCACAAAACTAACTCCTCATCCCTATAATAATTTTCTCCATCTATTCATGTGTTGCTCACCGAGTTCGCCCTCTTATTTGTTTATCTATTTATTTATATTGTGTGTGTGATCCCTTTCTCCTCATAATTAAACCCGTGGAAATGGCTTTTATGTCATATGCCAGTCATATCGGTGTGAATTTGTGTATTTACTGCATCACTCAGTATTTAATTTATCACATCATGGGGGTTGACGGTAGCGGGTGGAAGTGTAGCATACATTCTATCCCTTTATTCATAACCGAAACATCGATTATTCACTTGCCTTTTTGTTGTCGTTGTTCATAGCTGGTGTTATTTCATTTGGGATTCCTTTGTGTGTGTATGTGTGTGCACTGCACGTGTGGGCGTTTGCTAGAGCGTGCCTGTATCCTTTATATGATAACCGTTCATATTACCATAAGACTGATTTTCTTTTACATCACACCTCCAATGATTTTAATAAGTTTTGTTAATGACCCAACTCTGTTCCTGTCACACACACATGCAATCGTTCCAAAGTGATGAGATGCAAGCTAAAAGCAACAAGTTGGCAGAAGAAGCATCAAAGATAGGAAGGACTTCAGGTGGACATAGAGAAAACAGAGTTAGGTGATGAAGATTCTTGGACAAGAACAACAACAACAGACAACGATCAGCCAGCATAAATGGGAGGAACCTGAAAGAAACAACCTCCTTTACCTACCTGGGAAGCATCGTTTCAACTACAAGCGGACGGAACTGATGAGGATATCAAAGCAAGGATCAGGAAAGCAAGACAAGCTTTCACTACTCACATCAAGTCTGTGTGGAGGTCAACAGCACTCAGCATCAAAACGAAGATAAGATCCGGATTTTCAACTCCAATGTGAAGTCAGTCTGTGCTACTATACGGATGAGAGACTTGGCGCGCCATAAAGAGCACCTCAAACAAACTACAGACCTTCATTAACAGTCGTCTTCGCTCAATACCACTCAAGGTCAGATGGCCGGCCAGAAAAGATCAGCAACAGAGTGGGATCTCTGGCAATGAGCGAACCAACACAGCAGGAACCGATTGTGAAACAAATAGGCAGGAAGAAATGGAGATGGATTGGCCATAATCTGAGGAAACCATCAAGTGACATCACTAGACAAGCCATTGCTCGAGTGGAACCCGAAAGGGAAGCGGCGAGTTGGTAGTCAGTGCAAGAGTGGGTGACTTGGAGGAGGTCATGTGAAGAGGAGATGAAAGCATGTGGGTAGACTTGGAGCCAGGTGAAAACTCTAGCTGAGAACCGAACGCAATGGAGACGCACGGCTGAAGCCTTATGTTCCTCTAGGAATTAAAGGAAACAATAATAATAATGTGATTGAAACGTATTCATCATTCGATGGCTTCTTAAGGTTTACCGTGAGACGTCAATAGAAACTAATCGTTATTGCGGGATTGATCACAAGCTGCTGACATCATTTAGAGAACCATTGGAAAGCAACTCCTAGGGAGAACCGGAAATCTGTTCCGTCCTAGTTTGGGTCTACTCAAGCATTGTGCACCCACCACACAGGGGTTCAAACCCAGGATGTTCCAGTTACGAAGTGAGCTCATAGAACATTCATCAGTCACTGCGACCGGGACCCTACCAAATGGTCAACCCATGAATTCCAACTTCTGCTAATTCGTGATATATATTTAGCGCGACCGCCAGACAGAATTGACAAAAGTTGACATTCATGAACTTATTGGCTGATGAATGTTCTATGAGGTTGTCTCGTACCTGGAACATCCTGGGTTCAAACCCCCCGGTGGTGGGTGTGTATTGATGAAGAGTCCCGAACTAAGGCAGAGTAGTAGTTGGTTTCCAATGGTTCTCTGACTGATGTGTCAGCTCGTGATCAATCCTGTAACCACCAATCAAATCCCTGCAAACCAACACTTGACAATTTCTGTATTAGTTGTTCAGATTTTTAAAAAAACGAACAAACTTTAATACACCAAGTCCTATAGAATTTTGTCAATGTTTTTTTAAGTATTGGTTTTGTAGGGATTTTGTTTGATTGCATGGAGGATTTCATCATGAGCTGACATCCGTTAGAGAACCACTGGAAAACTTGGGAGTTTTGGACAACTGTTTCGTCCTAGTTTGGGACTCTTCAGCAGTACGCGCCAACCACAGAGGTTTGAACCCAGGAACTTCTGGTTACAAGGCGAGCTCGTAGACCATTGCGCTGAGATGTCGGTCTGATTGGCAGTGAGGTCTCATAACCCGGTCGATTGCTACTGCTACCCTGACATCTCCATTATGCTTGCATATCACAATGACCCAATGAGCTACACTGGCTGGAACTATTGCTTCCTGTGAAGGTCCTACCATGCTAGAGAGAGGGTCATTCGGATAGCTGTTGGACTAAAATCAGTTACCGTCATATAGTGTAAATTTTTTACACTATGTTGGGTGTGTGTTGTGGTGGGTGAGTGGATGCATCTGAGCCATTGACAACGACCGTGAGCCATAGCTTCAATAGTCTCCAGTCTTTGGTTCTTAGAATCCTGAGGACCCCAATCACTACTACTACTAGGCTTGCAGTCTACACTTCCCCACATGTCTGGCTCAAATCATCTGTCGAGGAAGGCAAGCATGCATCACACATATCCTAGACCTCTCAGTCGGTGTTGCTTCATAAGCTCCCCTCTTTTCCCCTCTTATCTGACACGCAACACGCTTTACCTCAATATTAGTGATCCTATTACACCATCACCACCATATATGTGGGGGATAACACGCGGACACCTATGATCAGGCAGTCGAACTGCTGATTAGCACACACATCTTTTGATTGACAGCCATTTTTTGAGGGTTAGAGGGATGCAAAGGTTCATCAAATTAAATCCAAGCTGCTAGAATTTATGTCTTACAGTTACTGAGTAATAGTGTTAGGATAGGAATAGTTGGAATGTGATACTACTGTGGTGAGAGCTGGCTGCTAGCCAAAGTTGGTAGACAGTAATTGACGTCAATGTTTATGTTCCCACCAATATTGGTGGTGAGAAAATGAGAACAAAGGCTTTCCGTAGACGGATACAGTTAGCACATGAATGATCTGACACAGCCACAAAGAGATGCAAGTTTAACTTTCTGTGAGAAACAACCAATCAAAAGACTGTATTTTCTACTAACAATAATCTACAATAATGTACATTAAAATCTATAAATATGTGTTGATTTTCCTTAATAAACGATCTGTTGCCTGACCCTTGTCTTCTGTTGTTACAGTAGTACTGTAACAACAGAAGACAAGGGTCAGGCAACAGATCGTTTATTAAGGAAAATCAACAGATAATTATAGATTTTTATGTACATTATTGTTAGCAGAGAAGTAACGTCTTTTGATTGGTTGTTTTCCTGCTGAAGGTTATTCTGTCATCTCTTTGTTTGCGGTTTCTTAGACAGTCCGTTGACATATCTGCGAATCGTACCCACCCATGCTAAGTCTGCTGTGATTGATTGTTGAGTTCCTCAAGGTTAGGCTTTGTTCTTGTTTTTTTCTCATGACCGAGATTTGGGACGTGTAAACATTGACGTAAATTTCTGTCTACCAATTTTGGCTAGCAGACAGCTAGCTATCACCACACTACTACTGTGTATTTGATCATAGGGAATAAAAAGACAGTTGCAGTGAAGAAAATTTTCTTTTCGACGAAGTCATCATCTAGGCTGTACATTCGTGTATTTATATCAAATGGATGGGAAAGTTCCAGAATAATTTCTGGTTAGGGGTTGAATTAATAAAATTACAATTAGGAATTAGAATGCCATAATAAACAGGGGGATGGGTAAAACTCAAACAAAGTAGCATAATAACTAAGAAAATTGACATTGTGCAATTGGGGGTTAGAAATGTAAAAATAACAAAATATACAGGATGTTTGGATAAGAAACTAGTGTGATGAATAGTTGTTTATGCGATCAGGGATTAAATATGTAGAAATAATAAAATGACATGAATAAACAGGAAGTTTGGATAAGAAAGGCGATGGGATGGTCATTATTAAAAAATTTAGCTGTTTACGATGGCCATGGCAGGGACAGGGGTTGAATGTATTTCTTTTGGATACAAAGCGTGGGTTTGAGCTTTGGGATAGCTAACGCCTCAGCTATGCCCAGGTGTCTTGATTTGACTCCCTTTGATAGGTTTCAGTGAATCTTGTATATTACTTTGAAGGATTTTTCGAAAGGCGCTGAATGTCCTGAGTTGACCAGATGTTCTGTCACTGAACTGTTTACACGTTTTTGCTCTCCTTTTACCAGCCAGGCTGGGTAGTGTTCGCGAGCGCGTTTTCCAAGTTGGCGCATGGTACGGCCGATGTACTCAGCTCCACAAGAGCAAGTGAACTGGTATATGCATGTTGAGGTGGCCCAATGCGACAGCTTGTCTTTCGCGTTCTGGTTGTTCTGTAACTTTCCCATCCATTTGATATAAATACACGAATGTACAGCCTAGATGATGACTTCGTCTAAAAGAAAATTTTCTTCGCTGCAGCTTTCTTTTTATTACTGTGTATTTCCTTGTTAAGTATCTTGTCTTATGATCTTAAAGTCTTTACACTATATATATGTGTGTGTACAGAAGAACCAAGTAGATCCATTCATCCTTTTGTTTCTTAGGTATGCGTGCGTGTTTGGGTGTACTTTTTCATTTCATGATAGGTTTAACTAATTGATTTATCGAGGAATTCTTGGGTGCGTTTTCAATCCACAATTGCATCATTCACATAATATTTATTAATCTCTCTCTCTCTCTCTTTGTGTTGAGAGAGATTCTGTGTTCCAGTGTGAATTGTTTTACACGTATTTGGTGCACGCACTACTCAGCTATATATTATACCACACACATTTTGGTGAATCCTTATCATTTCAGTGTCTTCAGAGAGTGTGTGTGTGTGTGCTCATATAATTTCGATTCGTACTTATTATTATTACACTAGAATATCGTAGTTTTCATAACGTCATCGTCTACTGATTTATAGAAAAGTAGTAGTATTAACTATTCCATACGATTATATGTGATTTCCTTATTTACAATCTCCTATAACCTGCATTTGATTATGTCTTGTTGTTAATCTTGATTTATGGTTTCTTTTATAAGTTTCATTTCATTTTCAAGATTGTTTTTTTGTTGTTGTGGTGGTTGTGTTTATTTCTATTCTGGTGGTTCTGTTCTCTGACCTTTGGTGTGGATATGTGGTTTATGTGGTGTCGCTGTCACATTGTATCCCCTTTCAGACAACATTTTTAGCGCCTTCATTAATGTAAAATGATTTTTTTTCTGGACTTCTCCATGAATTGATAGGAAGTCAGTAGTAGTCATTACTCATACAACTTCATCACTTGAGAGGAGGACCCAAGAAGACGAACCTTAGGAACCACAAGAAAGTTCATTCTATCTCATATTTTTAGAAACATTTCTGAAATACGTGCTTAGATAAGATCCTGATGTAACAACAGAAGACAAGGACCAGGCAACAGATTGTTTATTAAGGATTTTCATGTACATTATGATAGATTATTGTTAGCAGACAAATACAGTCTTCTGATTGGTGGTGCTTTCTCGCTGAACGTTAATCTTTCATCTCTTTGTGACCGTTTCTTGAAGTTCAGATTATCTATCTGCGAATTGTATCCGCCTACGCAAAGTCCTATGTTCTCATTTTCCTCATGACCAATATTGGGGACATAAACATTGACGTAAACTAATGTCTGCCAATTTGGCTAATAGCCAGCTCTCACCATTCATATAAGAATAAAACTTCTGCACTGTGGTAGAGTGTAATTCCATTATGGGTAAATTTTATTTTGATAGAGTCTCACAGTGTTATACAGTAACATTTACTGATGACGTTTCAAGCACAATTTATTGCTCATAATCATATCAAGGTAATCACACGACTTCCTAAATTCATTCATATAGTTCCATTGTTTTTCACTTGATTTGATTGGTAGTAATATTTTCCATATTTCGGTATGTGATGAGTGATGAATCATTCCTATTGCATGTGTTGGGTGTAGATCCACTCGATGAACAAGGATTCAGTAATCAACCTCTCTCTCCATCTACAGTTATACCATATAAGGAGGGGACATCTGAGACCCTACGTAGGATTCTAAATAAAGCAGGAATTAGGGTGGTGGCATTTAAACCTACAAACTCACTCAGGTAGGACAAGCTCTGTAGGTTAAAGGACTCTGCAGGTTGACCCAATTAGACGAAATAATATAATTTACAAAATACCTTGCAATGAATGTGAGTTAGGACAAGTACAAAGGTCACAATAGTAGATCAGGAGTAGTGAGATTATCAGGACATAAGAATTTAGCTAAGGTAAGAATGGTTGGCCCAGAGAAGATAAGTAATTTAGAAAAAAGCTCGGCAATTGCAATGCATGCATTAACACAACCACACAATAGGGTGGGTAGGTAGGTGGAGAGCGTGAGAGGTTGATTACTGAATCTTTGTTCATCGAATCTACACCCAACACATGCAATAGGAATGATTCATCACTCATCACATACCGAAATATGGAAAATATTACTACCAATCAAATCAAGTGAAAAACAATGGAACTATATAAATGAATTTAGGAAGTCGTGTGATTACCTTGATATAATTATGAGTGGCAATAAATTGTGCTCGAAACGTCATCAGTAAATATGACTGTATAACACGCTTTGAGACTTTATCAAAATAAAATTTACCCATAATGGAATTACAGCTCTCACCATACTGATACTATTCAGAAGCTGTAACTAAAGGGGGTCCACCAATTCAGGTAGGAGACTATCAGTTACTCACGCCTATGATACATTGGCTGGTGGTGGTGGTTGAGCTACATGTACTCATCGAAAATGACAGAAGTTGGAATTCATGGACTGGCCATTGGATCGTGTCTGAGTGGCTGATAAATAGTCTACAAGGCTGGCTTTTTTTAACCTTAAGGTTGTGGGTTTCGAAACCCAGGTGAAAAGTCCCAAACTAGGACGAAACAGTCAGATGTCCAGTACTCCCTAGTTGGTTTTCCAATACCTTCCCTAACTTATGTCAACTCGTGACCAATCAAATCCCTGCAAACTATTCAGAATAGACACTACACGCACACACACACACACACCAGTCAATATAATCTCTTCATTCAATAGTGTGCAGACCAAAACACCTAAAAGACAAGATTCACACTGTCTATGTGACAAAATGTTGCACCGGAAATACTGAAAATGTCAGAGAACTGTTAAAAGAAGCTTGATCCATCGGATCAATCTTCACCCAGCAGACATGTTGATACAGAATAACTCACATGGAAAAACAGATCAAGGACGTCGATACAAATCGACACTAGAATGAGAAGACTGCCTCAATAAACCAGTCTCTGTCAAGATCATCATCAGCAGAGATACTTATATCAATCATAGAGAATCCTAAAAGTCTAAGTTTGAAATGAACTCTAAAGATGTATGTTCTCTAGGGAGAAGGATAATGAAAACTTTACAGTTAGACCACCACCACCATCTAGCAGCTCTGGAAACACAACCACAGCCATATCATCCACATCCTCAATACGAGTTGAAGACATGAAAAGGTTGACTGTTTTTGATCATAGATGTCTACGATCTCTTTCTCACGTTAGGTGGTATAATAAGGTAAGTAATGTTGACGTTAGGCGTAGAGGAGTGTTGGGCAAAGAGGGAAAATCAATCAACAAGGCTATAAAGTTACATAGATTGAGATGGCTAGGTCATGTGCTGTGCATGCCTAACCATCGCCTCCCCCCGACGGGCATTACTAGCTGATATAGGTAGGTGCAGGTTGGAAAAGAGTAAGTGGTGGCCAAACAAAAACATGGCCTCATCAATCCATGAAATCCTTGACAGTTAAACTGAGTCAGGTAGGGAGGGAGATGCAGACTTCCGGGTTGGGGCCAGCCCTCGGGACTCTAAGAATCAATGACTGGAGACAATAGGTGACATGGCTCAAAATCGTTGTCAATGGCTTACGCAGATGTATTCAGTCTCTGTAATCTTCAGTCTCATATTCCTTTCTACCATTACTCATTCTGTTTCACTCTTATATACTTGTCAAAACTCTATTGATTCTCTTCACTCATTTTCTTGTCTACCTTTGTGTGCTATTTGGAACGTGGCAACTCGAACTGCTGCATTTCGGTGCCAAGTTCTATGTTGAATCCAGACAGATATCATCCACATGAGTTGTCATTCTTCTGTATTAATTCAATTACAACATTTTGAATGAAGTACATAGTTCATCATTTTTCTTTCTAAATGACGTCACTCATCTTATGATGTAACCTTCTCATGAATCCTTTTTCCTTTTTTTTAAAAAATTGACCAACCCACAATGTTTTCTTTGCAGATGTTATCACAGGTAGTTTTGGTACTGACAATATTGTATGTATATGCACTTATTTGGTTAGAACTGCTTTTTCGGGTAAATATTTGGTCTCATATGGACATGTATAAACCTCGGTTAGTTGTGTATAACAGTTCTGTAGGTCTGAGAGATTATTCATGTCTCTTAATTTTCCTCTTATTTTTAGTGGAGAAGTGGCCCATTGATTTGAGCACATGAATTATGACCAATGGGTCTAGGGTTCGAATCCTGCTTCACTTACTTCATTCACCCTGCAGAAATCAGTTGTATAACATCACTACTGACATAATATTTGTGGCTCATAGTCTGGTATATCTGCTTCTGGTTCACCGTTTATACAACGAACTGAAAACAGTTCCCCGTTATTGTATTTCATAGGGTGAATAGTTTACCTGTGAAGTGTACACATTGTTCTTTTGAACAACATCACACAGATGTTAGGCGGTATATAATATAGATTAGATTATGAAGCTATATCGATTTTAGATGGCTTATGGGACATGTCGCGCATGCTAAGCCTCCTCTGTCTTCTTCTTCTGCGAGCAATGTTAGCTGGCATGGGACGACTAGGTTGAGAAACAGTTAGGGCCAGAGTCAAACCATAAACTGGCATCTATTGTTTACAGTCACTTACGAAGGTATAGAATGCCTGGTTGGGGTGCATGGAATATTAAGAACCCAATGGCTGGAGAAAATTGGTGATGGTGATATAGCTCAAAATTGTTCTCAACGGCGCAAATGCATTCACCCCCGTGTTTTTCCGTGTTACTATTCTTCCTCCTATATATTTCCGCTTGTAATTAGTTCTCCTTTGAATCCCCCTTTTTGCGCTACCTTTGTGTGCCACATAGAGTTTGGCAACCTGAACTAGTGTACTTCTGTTCAAAGTTCTATGTTGAAGTCTTAGTCGTGGGTTAGTCATGAAATTCAGAACATTCAGGAATCATGGTGAACGTGTTAAACAGATTCAATCGTGAGATTTTAAATCCAAAATACATCTATATTGAACTAGTGGTAATTTCTGATTATTATATTTCCTAGACAGGATTTCCAAAAGTTCTAGTAGAAATTTGTGACAGCGTGATAGTGGGATTTCTCTCCATGTTTGGGTATGATCTCATCGATGGTGATGATGACATTGCCATGACATGAGTAACTTTATCACAGATTTACAGAGATTGGCATAGACTGTCGAATTCCGCCTTGGACGACTGAATGGTGATACATGCTCGCCAACTAACTCTTAAGGTTCTCGGATCGGTTACTGTCATATTCATGGGTTTAAATATGTGGGATTAACGAATCCCAAGACATTGTCAAGTGTGTCGGTGGTACAGCGGTAGAATCCTCGCCAACTACACATATGGTCAGGGGTTCGATCCCCAGTAATAAGACTGGTAAAGGGAAAAAGTTAGGCATGAGGCTAGCACCCCCATCCCGTAAAAATAAACATCACTGCTATCGAAACTTTAAGCCTCTAGGTTGAAGTCCTCAGTTCCACTGGGAATGGTAAGGAATAAAAAGAAGACATTATCAAACAGCTGGTTGGTTATGCATTCCTCGAAGTGGTACTAGTTCCTCAAAAAAGAATATAGATTACTCCTCAACAGTCCGCTCCGTCCTCCTTTATGGTTGTGAGACCTGGCCATTGAGAGCAGAAGACATGAAAAGATTAGCTGTCTTCGATCATAGGTGTCTGCGATCTATCTCCTGTGTGAAGTGGTATAATAAGGTGAGCAATATTGAGGTGAGGCGTCGGTCGAGTGCTAGGTAAGGCGGGGAAATCAATCGACGAAACTGTGAAACTACATCGACTGAGATGGTTAAGACATGTGTTACGTATGCCTAGTCATCGCCTTCCTCAACAACGGGCGATGTTAGCTGATATAGGGCCAGGTTGGAAAAGAGCTAGCGGCGGTCAAACGAAAACATGGCACCAGTCAATGAAATCCACAACAGTTAGTTTAGGCCACGTAGGAAGGTGTAGACTTCCTGATTGGTTGGGGTCCTCGGGACGGTAAAAACCAATGGTTGGAAACAATTGGTGACATGGCTCAAAATCGTTCTCAATGGCTGGTGCAGATGCATCCATTCCTTGTGACTTATGATTTCCAATGAAACTGTTTTGTTCTTCGTTA